TCTACATTTTTAAAAAAATGAGTATTTGGTAAGGTAATGTCATATTTTTGTTTTTTCTGTACACTAACTTAACATTTTGATAATTTTTAAAAGTTTGTTCAAATTTTAGTATCATTGAAAATCTTATTTAAATAAATGTAAAATTTAACATTTTGATAATTTTTAAAAGTTTGTTCAATTTTTAATATCATTGAAAATCTTACTTAAATAAATGTAAAAGTTTAAGACAAAAAGTGAAAATGAGGAGTGACAAGATATTCAAAAGGGAGAAATTTTGATAAATAGACGGCATTGATAATTGGGTCAAACCAACATACATAAACCCCAAAATCTAGAATGTGTTTAATTAAAAATATTAGTATAGAATGGGAGTATTAAATTACAAGATTGACATTATAAACATGACAAAGTAAGGTTAATTTAGAGATATTATATTTTTACAGATTCATTGGCTCTTTTATAATAGTATAGATTATTTTATTCACTTTTTTTTTTGTTTGTTTTCACTTGATTATGTAATTATTTTTTGTTTTGTTTCAATTAATTATTTAATTAATATTTTTTGTTTTAGTTTTTCAATTAATTTTTTTTTCTGTAATCTTAATTTCTGTTTTTTAATGTAATAATATTTAGTGTATTTTCAAATGAAATTAAGTATTCTAATTAAAAAAATATATTTATTTTTTATTAAGAATAGAATATAAAAATAGTATTGAATGAGTCATGAGTAATGGGTCCCATATATTTGTATTTGAATGAATGAACGTGGATGTGTGTTTAAATGGAGATATGTTTAGTGGAACGATGATGTGGAGATGAGGTGGATGAGAGAGTAAATTGTGAATGAATGAATGTTAAGGGATGTGGATGCCCTTATGAAGTTTTCCCCATAAGTATGTACTGTTTCAAACTTTAAATACCACTTCTAATTGTGTTCGATTATGGATTCAAGCTTGGATTTACAGTATAAATAACATATCGAAAGAGAAGAGCAGAGAAAAGGAAATCGGGGCAAACTTTAATTAATTTGGAAAAATGCAAAGTACAATATTTATGTGTTAAAGGTAGCCTTTTTATAGGTCCTTTCCGGCACATCCGATAAAATTAGAACGATACTGTAAAGAAATGAACTTAATGCAAAGATAAAAAATACAACTCATAGGCCGAAAATGTGAAAACATTGTATTGCATTCATTCAGAAGATAATTCAGAGTACAAAGTAATGTGAGGTACATCAAACTTAATATATATCATAAGCATTAAACTTGAAATAACTTCTAGATGTAACTGCCAAGGTGGCAGTTATGAAGGAGAGCCAACATGTTTTCTGACGAGTATGTTGACATCTTCATGATTTTTAACAAGCTCCCTCAAGTCGAGCGAGGTTAAGGACACAACATGCAGCTTGTTCCTTAATCGAGCGAAGAGTTGATAGCTAAGAGGTTTTGTTCGAATGTCAGCAACTTGATCATAGGAAGGAATATGATTGATGGACACTCTTTTAGCTTCAACTTTTTCCCTCACAAAATGTATATCAAGCTCAATATGCTTAGGTCTTGCATGTAGAACCGGATTAGTTGCTAGGTAGATTGTGCTCAAGTTATCTACCCATATTGTTGGAATTTTGACTGATCTTTCTCCTAGTTCTTCCATCAAAGCCTGTATCCATGTAATCTCAGCCACATTATGAGCCAAACTTCTATATTCAGATTCAGTTCTGGATCTTGAAATCGATTTATGTTTCTTAGCTGCCCAAGATATCAAGTTTTGGCCAAGAAAAACACAAGAACCTGTCATGGATTTCCTATCATCTTGATCTCTTGCCCAGTCTGAATCTGAAAACCCTGTAATGTTCAGGTTAGTAGGCTTAACAACATGCAGCCCAAAGTCCAAAGTTCTAGCCAAATATCTCAAAACTCTCTTCACTGCCTTCCAGTGTGTTGTTAGAGGATTGGACATGAACTGGCTGACTTTATTCACAACAAAACTAATCTCTGGCCTTGTTATAGTAGCATATTGCAATGCCCCAACTGTGCTTCTATAAAGTGTGCCATCAATCCCTGAATCTCCATCAAACTTAGACAAATGTGAGGATGATATCATGGGAGTTGGACATCCTTTTGCTCCGGCCATGTTCACTCTTTCCAGAATTTCTTTAATATATTGAGTCTGGCTTAGGTGCATCCCTTGTGAGGTTTGTCTTACCTCAATTCCTAGAAAGAGTTTGACTTGACCAAGATTCTTTAATGAAAAATTTTGCTTCAGTTGATTCACCACTTCTTTGATTGTAGTGCTGCAATTTTCAGTCACTAAAATGTCATCAACATAAATGAGAAGGTAGGTTTTTCTTCCATTCTTTTCCAGAATAAATAAGGAAGTATCTGCTCTGGAGTTTCTAAAACCAAGGTTCAATAGAACTGATTTTATTATAGAAAACCAGCTCCTTGATGTTTGTTTAAGACCATAAGGTGACTTATTCAATTAGCACACTTGATCATTTTCTCCAATTTCAAAACCATAAGATTGTCTC